CAGGAAGGCGCCGGGGCACGACGGGATCACCAACGCTGCGCTTCGACAGCTGCCCAATAGGACACTTGTAGAGATCTGTCGACTCTACAATGGAATATTGCGGACATCCCACTTCCCGGAGGAATGGAAGATAGGGAAGGTGATTGTGTTACCGAAGCCCGGGAAGGACAGGCGTAGAGCTGCCAGTTACAGGCCGATTACGCTACTACCGCACATAGCTAAACTGCTAGAAAGACTACTGCTAAGACGCCTCCGCCCGTGCATCCAACTTCGGGCGGAGCAGCACGGATTCAGGAGGGACACCGGGACACCCGGGGACACCCTGGTCAGCTGTGTTGCTGATGAGTGGCATCAGCAACACAGCTGACCAGGGTGCTGCACTACTTAGCGGTCGAGTATAATTTCGGCCGCACATCGTTAGGCGTCCTTCTCGATATAGAGAAGGCGTTCGACAGAGTGTGGCACCCTGGTTTACTCTACAAGTTAGAAGAACAAACCAGTATCCCTCCTGCTATGTTGCGGCTAGTAGCGTCATTCCTGGCTGACAGGAGGTTCTACGTCTGCGTAGAAGGCGCGATGTCCGCAATGAAGACCATCAGAGCCGGCGTACCACAGGGCAGCTGTCTGTCACCAGTCCTGTACGCGGCTTATACCAACGACATCCCAACACTGGAAGGACACCTGCGAGAGTGGGAGGACGACGTCGAACTGGCGCTATACGCGGACGATAGCGCCTACTTCACCTCGTCCAGAAGAGCCCACATCGCAGTCGCCAGGATGCAAAGGCTGTTGGACTTGCTGCCAGCATGGCTGGATGAGTGGAGGATGGCCGTCAATGTTGGTAAGACGGCCGCTCTGCTCACTCGCCGCTACAGGAACTTCCCACCACCACTAACGCTCAGAGGGCAGGAAATTGCATACCAGAAGACCGTGACGTACCTTGGATGCCGGATCGACAGAATGCTGCGCATGACCGCGCATGTTGATCTCGTAGTCCGCAATGCGAGAAGTGCGCGGGCGGCGCTGCGTCCCGTACTGGCATCCAAGTTACCACTGAAGACAAAATTGAAGCTATACAAACTATACATAAGACCTGTACTAACCTAAGCTGCTCCGGCCTGGTATGCACTCCTGAGCGACCGGCAGAAGCGGCGACTGCAAGTCCAACAGAATTTGGCATTAAGGACCATTGTCGGTGCTGGTCGCTACGTCCGGAACGACGTGATAGCGGCCGACCTGAAAATTGAAGACCTGGAAGAATTTGTGGTCCGGTTGGCGCGCGGTATGTTCAACCGCGCTGACAACGGGCCACACCCACACCTTAACAACTTCGCGCCGCTGCACGCCCGCCCTCCGGACGGGCGACCATTACCAAGAGAACTCCTCCCTATATAGATTAGGGAGTCGAGTAAATTCCACAATGCCACTGAAAGGCCAACATAGACACCAGAATACCACACACATTGAATACCAACTTACAGCGACCGGATTCGAACCAGTGTCGCTGTAGTAAAGAGATAAATGCCAAGAAGGCACCCATGACCGGCCCATTGTTATGGGCCGTGAGGATTACTCAGGTAATGGGGAGATATCCCCGAGGCCTGTACCTGTAGCGCAGAATGCGCACAGAAGAACACACGTAGGGTGTCGCCACCTGGTTCGTCGCGGGCCGTGCTACAGTGCGGACGTGTTTAGTCGCGCTCCTGTTATTGTGTACGTGTTGTGCTAGTGATTGACTCCGCCGACGTCGAGTTCGCTCCGTTTGGCGTCGAGGCGTCGCTGGCGCATCTCCTGCGTCGAGCTGTTATCAAGGTAAGCGCAAAGGTCACTACCTACGCTGTGCCCTACTTTGCGTTTTTATCTTGTTTGTACACTGTACCCTCTTTTTATTATAAAAAGTGTTTGCAAGTGTTCCGCATTTTGTGAGATAACGCCCATCCCATCTGCGCCTCACACACCCCTCCCTGCTCGCGGGCGCCTCGCTGGGCCTCCCTCACGGGTCTCACCCGGTGTGGTTGCACGCGCTGAGGGGAGTAAGGTGTGTGATAGCTAAGGGCTGAGCACAAGTAATTAGTGATGTCGGACAAGGGGGAACCCCCCCCAACACGCCGAAAACCACCCGACAGGCGTCTGGGAGTTCTCGACAGGCCCCTCATGGAGCGAGACCTCTTCGCTCCTGAGAGATCGAGAGTGCTCCCACCATATAGCCAACTCCCGAGGCGGATAGGTAGTTCATCGGCCACTGGCGCCGCGCTCGGCGCTGGTGAAGCTGTGTCTCCACCTAGCGTCGAACCGGCTCCACTACCACGCCGGAGCCTAGCCTCGCGGATAAGGACCCTCCCCGTGCTGATTACGATCGACACCAGTGCGGATGCCGTAGTGCCCAGAAGCCTCAGAATGAGGACTAATTGGCAACGCTTCCGCAGTGCGCTGGAGGACCTCCAACTCTGCGCCTCTATCACCACCTATGAAGATGTGGAGACAGCGGCCCTGCATATTCATAATACCATTAAAGATCAACTACAACTTCATTCCCACCCTGTCTCAACGGGGCGCGGAAAGGAGGAACTCCCACGCAAACTGCAAATTCAACTATCCGAAAAACGGAAGCTGAGGAGGCTCTGGGCACGGACACGATGCCCACGGCTTAAAACTAAACTTAACTCTCTAACGGAAGAGCTGTCGGAAGCAATGAGAGCATACAGGGGAGAAGCATGGGAGAGGCGAGTCGACGAAGCCTCGGAGACACCCGCCTCCCTGCATCTCCTCAACCGGCAGCTCTCCAAGACACCACCACCTGTCTGCCCACTGGTGGACAGCACGGGGAGCAGGATTTACGACGCCCAACCTAGAGCGGACTTGATGGCACAGCACCTAGAACAACAGTTCATACCCAACAGCATAGCAGAGGGGTACGCAGACCACGTACAAGGCATAGAGGACCGCGTACGGGAATACCTCTCTAACCCGGCGCCGCCATTGCGAGGCGGCGATTTTATATCTCCAGCAGAGGTAAGGCGCACTATCATGCGCCTACCTAGCCGTAAAGCGCCGGGTTACGACGGCATAACCACCACAGCCATAAAGCAGCTGCCCAGAAGGGTAATAGTGGCACTCACCAGGCTGTACAATGGCATCCTGAGGACTGGCCACTTCCCGACCATCTGGAAGCAGGGCAGAATCATCGTGCTGCCGAAGCCGGGAAAAGACATGAGGTTCCCGGCCAGCTACCGCCCCATAACGCTATTGCCGCACATAGCAAAACTCTTCGAGAAAATCACCCTGAATAGGGTACTCCCACATGTTACCCTGCGAGAGGAGCAATTTGGCTTCCGCAGGGGACATTCAACCACGTCTCAGCTGGCCCGCGTGCTGCACTATCTTGCGGCCGAATATAACTTCGGCCGCACCTGTGTGGGGGTCCTTCTCGACATGGAGAAGGCCTTCGACAGGGTGTGGCACGCAGGGCTAGTATATAAACTCATACACAGTACCACCTTGCCGCCAATGCTTGTGCGGCTAATAGCGTCATTCCTGGAGGGGCGGAGCTTCCATGTCGCCTTGGAAGGGGCTGTTTCGGCGGCACGACCGATTTCTGCGGGAGTGCCACAGGGCAGCTGCCTATCACCGCATCTGTACGCGGTTTACACCAATGACATCCCCACCCTCCAAGGCCATCTGGAGGAATGGGAGGATGACGTTGTTCTAGCCTTGTACGCCGACGACAGTGCGTACTTCGCGTCATCACGTCGGGTGGACATAGCTGCCAAGAAATTGCAGCGGGTACTCGACCTCTTGCCTGAGTGGCTGGACAAATGGAGGCTGGCGGTCAATGTCGGGAAGACCGTCGCCTTCATGACCAGGCTGGCCAGAACACCACCAACTCTGCAACTCCGCGGGCAGGATGTGGGTTGGAGTAGTACCATTACGTACCTAGGATGCCAGATAGATCGCTCGCTGCGCATGACACCGATGGTCAATCACGTAGTGAGACAGGCCAGAGCTGCGCGAGCGAAACTATACCCTATACTGGCATCCAAACTTCCAACAAGAACGAAAATAGGTATCTACAAAACCTACATCCGCTCGCGGCTGACCTACGCAGCACCAGCCTGGTACGCGTTGACCTCGGCCACTCAGCGCAAGAGGTTGCAGGCCCAGCAAAATCTTGCGCTTCGGGTGATCGTGGGAGCCGGTCGCTACGTCAGGAATGATATCATTTCTCGCGACCTCAAGGTCGAAACCATCCATGATTTTGTGGTCCGTTCTGCGAGACGGTTGTTCGACCGCGCAGACAACGGGCCACACCTACACCTGCAAAATCTTGCTCCCCTCCACGCCCGCCCACCTGACGGGCGACCACTCCCACGTGAACTTCTACGCTCACTGCCCGGCACAGGGGACGCCGGGGGTGAGTGAGCGTCCCGACACCGGACTTGATGGCGCGAGGTGCGCAACACACTAACATACAAGCTGCCAACGCAGCACCCAGGACCGGGGGGTCGTGTCCTCCTGAGATGCCGCCCATGTAAAGAGGGTCTCCTCGACACATGAAAACCTCCACAAGGAGATGAACCACCACTGTCGCCACCTGTGTATTATCCTACGTAATATCAATTTGTGTACGATATATAACAACAATTTACAATTTTCCTTTGTTATTATCATCTATCGCGAGTTGTGTGAGTCAGTGTTTTTTTTTTGTGTGAGTTTTCATACCTACAACGCCGTAACGGCTCCCACGACCGGTGCATAGTGATGCACCGCGAGGAGATTCCGGGCAAAGGGGGCGTGCCCCGAGGCCCGATACCTGCTGTGTGCATAGCATACACGCAGACGATTACGTAGTGTCGCCACCTGTGTATTATCCTACGTAATATCAATTTGTGTACGATATATAACAACAATTTACAATTTTCCTTTGTTATTATCATCTATCGCGAGTTGTGTGAGTCAGTGTTTGTAGTTCGTTTGTGATCTAATACTACTACTACGAAGTAATGGCAGATACAGCAGTAGCTTCCGAAACTCCCGCTCCGGCGACTCCGGCGAAAAAACCGAAGGCCGCCGCTACTGCAGCAGGTGGTGCAAAGAAGCCCAAGGCGAAACCCACTCATCCGAAGACTTCCGAAATGGTCACCAGCGCAATTAAAGAGCTGAAAGAGCGCAGTGGATCATCTTTGCAAGCGATAAAAAAATATATTGCCGCTCAATATAAAGTCGACGCTGAAAAACTAGCTCCGTTCATCAGAAAGTACCTGAAGAGCGCAGTCGAATCGGGTGCGCTTATACAGACAAAGGGCAAGGGGGCTTCCGGTTCCTTTAAGCTTGAATCAAAATCGTCCGCCTCTAAGAAACCGTCGACGGGTAAGAGCAGCGGTGGCGCAAAGAGCGGCGCGTCCGCCGCTAGCTCGGTGTCGGCGAAGGTGAAGAAGAGCACCGCCGCGGGTAAGGGTAAAAAGGCAGCATCGGCAGCGACCGCATCATCACCGTCTAAGGCAAAACCGTCTGCAGCTACCAAGGACAAGAAGGCGGCCGCCGCGAAAAAGAAGCCGGCAGCCGCAAGAAAATCCGCAACCGCTGGCCAAAGCGGCGTTTCTAAGGCGAAAGGCGCCGCTTCGAAGGCGAAAAAGAGCGCCAAACCACCGACAAAGAAACCTAAGGCTCCAAAACCGAAGAAGGCGGCAACACCCAAATCGAAGCCTTCCGCGGTGGCATCGAAGAAGGCAGCCGCTTCTAAAAAGTAAGGTCCGCCGCTGTCACCGCCTTCCGTCGTCATAACCACCGCCGCCGTACCTACCTACGTACGTACTCGTACGCGTAATTGTAAAACCTATGTCTACGGACCATCGTCGGTGCAGGTCGCTACGTCCGGAACGACGTCATCGCGGCGAACCTTAGGATGGAAACGATCAAGGAATTTGTGGCCCGATTAGCGTGCGGTATGTTCGACCGCGCTGATAACGGGCCACACGAACACCTACAAAATCTTGCACCCCTACATGCTCGACCACCGGACGGGCGACCTCTGCCAAGAGAACTCCTCTCTATAGAGATTAGAGAGTCGAGTAATAACCCGCAATGCCGCAGACAGGCCAACTCAGACGCCCGGCCACATTGACTTGACAAAAAATTTTTTACCAGACAACCATAGACCGATTAGGCGTCTTTTTCAGGCTTAGGCCGAATTAGGCGCCTTTTCAGGAAAAAAAGGCCATATAATGCCACTTTTTCAGGAGCGGGCCACATTACCCGCCTCCTGAAAAATTTGGAAGAGAGAAAAAAAAATTTTTTAGTGACCGGGGAATCAAACCTGTGACACTACAACACCCAACAACGCCAGAACGGCTCCCACGACCGGTGCACAGTAATGCACCGCGAGGAGATTCCGGGCAATGGGGTCAGCCCCGAGGCCCGAGACCTGCAGTATGCAACAAGTGCATATGTGCGGAAGACAGGATAATAGTGTCGCCACCTAGGTCTCCTAAGTGTGTGCTGTTTGAGGATTAGCAGTGGTCCCAAGCAGCCGCTGGTACGACATACTCCACCGATCGTCGAGCCCGCATGCTCCGTGAGGTGTGAGATCACCAGCCATTAGTGTAGATCTTTGGCACTAGAGAGCAGTCTCGGCTTTCAAAGTGTCAAGTCGCGTTCCCAGTGCCACCTATTGCACTTCCCCCAACCCTTTCGTTGTGAAAGGGGTAGGCAGTGCGCCCAAGTGTTGCGGTCGTCACCTTCGCTCCCAGCTTTACCTCGCGGCGCGCATCGAGTCAACCTGCTAGGTAAAGTATATAGACGTAAGACACACGTACACCAACCAAAAACAAAACAGTTGTAACATGTCGGGTAAGGAGAAGGGGGAACCCCCCCCACCCCCCGTGGTAGGAAACCCCCGGACCGCCCGGGTATTTTGGATCGTCCGCTTAGGATTAGAAATCTGCAGAACCCGGAACGGTCAACGGTAGTGGCTTCGTTTAGCCATATTCCCAAAAGGAAGCCTTCGTCGCCGCAAGACCCCGCATCGAGCGTCGCGCTCACGCCCACCGCACCTGAGCGTCTGAGTGGACGGGAACCGTCGCCCTTACCTCAGCGGGCGAAGAAGATGTCGCGAAGGCATACACCGCCAGAAACAGAAGACTCCCTGCATGAGAAGCGGCAATGCGTGGAGGCATACTGCTACACATCTTCATCAGAAGAGGAGGATTTACAAACGGCACAACGTTTTAGAACGCCACCAAAATCGCCTAGTCCGCGCAAAACTACTCCACCAATTTCACCGGAACGAAGAAGCATTGCCGATATGGCCGACTTCGATGGAGGTGAAGAATCCTACGGCTGGGGTTCTACAAAGTCAACGACTTATGCAACCCTAGCCCCATTCGCCGGAGGATCCCCCCCCCCCGCGCCTACCACCAACCCCTCTGGCCTCCATATGGACGACGGTCAGAGGCCTTCTACAAGTTATGCTCAACTGGTAGCTGCCCCGGCAGTACCACGACCGAAATCGCCGGAAACTGCAACAACGCAGGAAGAAAACGACAAAAAGGAAAAAGAAAAGGCACGCTATCCTCCTATAGTCGCCGAGTGCCTCCCGAACTGGACGAAGCATTTCGAAGAACTTAACAAGAAGTTAGGACATCCGCCGAATGCTCGTCCGTTCGGGAAAGGTGTCAGATTTACACCACAAAGTCCGGAAGAGTTCCGGACTATACAAAAATACTTGATCAAATTAACAGAAGAGCAACCATCAATGTCGTGGTACTGTTACACCCCCGAGGAAGACAAGCCCACTAAAGTGGGCATCCGGGGGCTACCAGTGGGCACAGATGCAACCCACATAGGCGAAGCTATTAGGGCAAAGGGGTTTCCACTTAAGTATGTGAAGGAAATCCCTCCTCGTAGGGGCAGACCTGGATGCCTCTACTTCGCCCAGCTGGACCACCTGAGCCTGGAGCAGCTTAAAGAACTTTATGCGATTGATGAACTACTATTCATGAAGGGAATTACCATAGAAGCCTGGCAGAGAAGAGTAGGCCCAGCACAGTGCCACCGCTGCCAGGCCTTCGGTCATGCGTCCGCAAACTGCTTCAGGCCAGTGAAGTGCGTCCGCTGTGGAGACAACCACATCGCCAGCAACTGCCCTAGGGGTAGAGATGAGGAGCCAAGATGCGCAAATTGCGGTCAAAATCATACGGCAAACGACCGCCGCTGTCCGGTTCTGAGGAAAATAGCAAGAAAACAAGGGATCACCCTACCGGGACTACAACCGGAAGCCCCTAGGGGGGTCCCTCAGAGTCGCCCCAGAACAATTGAAATGCAGGAAGATGGATGGGCAACGGTGAGAGGGAGGGGAAGACAACCCCCCCCACCCCCGCCACATCCCGCACAACAAACGCAGATGGAAGCACCGGAAGTAATCGCTCCTAGAACAGCAACAACAGGGGCGACCTTGCAGCCACCCGCTAACGATGCCACAGAAAGGCAACCAAAAAAGCGGAAGCGGGTGCGCAGCAAAAAGAAGAAAGAAGAACCTCCTCAGGCCGCGGCAGCGACCTCTACCCCTACCCCAGCGGTAACAATAGCCCAGGCGCAGGTTAACAAGCAGACAACTAGCATGGGTAGAGCGCCAGGAAGGGCTCTATCAGAAAATAGAGCCCGCTCTACATATAGAGAAAGAGCACGCTCTACCCAAAGAAGAGCAGAAATTCCAACACCACACCCGAGGCCAGTACCAACAATAACGCAAAGAAGAACACCTACAGCTGGTTCCAACGATTGGTTGGCATCGCAATAGAAGTGGGCAGCCAAGTCCTGGCAGACATTAGAGCCGGGACAGAACCGATAACTGCCATCATGAAGGCACTGGCGCAGCAACTGGCCCGACACTACGGTGGTGTCGTGTAATTCAGATAACCTGCGCCTCCTATATTGGAACCCGGATGGCATTCAACAGAAGCTAAATGAACTCCGCACTATCGCCCAACAACAGGACATTCACGTAATATTGTTGGGCGAAACAAAACTACGACCTACAACGCACATAAAGCTGCCGAACTATTTTATATACAGGAGGGACGAGGTCAACGCTGAAGGGGCCGCCTACAGAGGCACGGCGGCCCTAGTAAGAAGAGACGTCGTCCACCTAGAGCTGGAACCACCTCAGTACCAATCGATGCGTTCAATCGGCATAAAAATGGAGGCGGCGGGCGAGGAACTAAGGATTTACGCAGCATACCGCCCGCCAACAACCCCATTTTGCTCCTCAGACATCCGGACAATAATGGAAGGTGAAACACCAACCATTATAGCAGGGGACCTAAATGCGAAACACCCGGCGTGGGGTTCTAGACTGATTAACCCGCCGGGTCGTGCTCTATATGAAGACGCTGAAACAAACAACTATGATGTATTAGGTCCCGAAGAGCCGACGCACATACCAACCGATCACCGGAGGAGTCCGGATGTGTTGGATATCGTGCTCGCTAGGAACATCAACTGCCCGATAGTGGTAGAGGTGCTGTACGACACGGATACACAGCACCTCCCGCTATTAATTACCTTAGGCCTCAGGGCAGTGACTGCGCCTCCCAGAGCTTTCAAAACCAAGATCAACTGGAGGCTCTACCAAAAACATCTATTGGAGAGACCTCCAGTAACCACACAAATTAACACAGCGGACGACGTAGAGGCCGCTGCAACCAGATTATCAAGAACGATTAAAGATGCCCTCGACGCGGCCTCAACGATCGTCCCACTCACTAACAAACGGGAAGAACTACCGATGAAAATTAAAACCAAATTAAAAAGAAAAAGAGCACTAAGAAAGCTCTGGGCGCGAACTCGCTGCCCAAGGATCAAAACGCAACTTAATAACATATCAGAAGAGCTGTCGGTTGAAATCAAGGCACATAGAGGAGAGGCCTGGGAGCGATGCATACACAAAGCGGAGGAAGAAGATGCATCGCTCTATAAACTTAACCGACAGCTAACAAATATAAAATCACCTGTTTGCGCACTAATTAATAGTACTGGAGAACGATGTTACGAGGCCAAGGAACGTGCGGATATCCTAGCGAGTCACTTCGAGGAGCAATTTATGCCGAATCCAACAAGTGCGGAGTTCATCGAGCTTCATGCCCAAAAGGAGAGCCGCGTACAGGAGTTCCTGTCGTCGCCCGCGCCACCGCTTGCAGGAGAGTGGTTTGTTTCCCCCGCCGAACTGCGGAGGACAATAGCCCGCCTGCAACCGAGGAAGGCGCCGGGGCACGACCGGATCACAAACGCTGCACTCCGACAGCTGCCCAACAAAACAATTGTAGAGCTAGGAAGGCTCTACAATGGCATTCTGCGGACTTTCCACTTCCCGGAGAGCTGGAAAATAGGCAAAATTATTGTCTTGCCTAAGCCCGGGAAAGACAGGCGTAGAGCAGCTAGTTACAGGCCGATTACGCTGCTACCGCACATAGCCAAACTGTTTGAACGTATAGTACTAAAAAGAGTCCGCCCGTGTATACAACTTCGGGCGGAGCAACACGGATTTCGGAGAGGACACTCTACAGCTACACAGCTGACCAGAGTGCTGCACCTGCTTTCGGCCGAACACAATTATGGAAGGACATCTGTGGGCGTCTTCTTAGATATCGAGAAGGCGTTCGATAGGGTGTGGCACTCTGGATTACTCTATAAGTTGATTCTTCAAACGAGTGTCCCTCCCGCTATGCTGCGGTTAGTGGCGTCGTTCCTAGCC